TTCGGTGTCCTTGCTGCCCGGTGGGCCTGGGACGCCTAGCAGGAAGCGGCCGTCGAGCCGGCGGGGGGCGTTAGAACCCACGAGCGAGGTCGAGTAACTTCAGCAGGAATCGTCCATACTTAAAGCAGGGTGGGACCGTGCAGTACACCTCCAGGGCCATCCTCATTCTTGCGGATGAGAAAACAAGAATTTGAGGGAGTGATTTATTCAGAGCCACACATCGAATTAGCAGCCCAGATTTAGAATCTAGGACTCAGGACTCCCAGATTTGCGTTTTCCCCCAGCTTTAGGCGGGAAGAACATTGCACAACCTTTCTATGACCCCTTGAAGGTAAGGGGCGCTAGTTTAGGGAGGGAAAGCTGAGTCCCCGAAATTTGATCCAACTTGTCCACGTTTGGTTGATGGTTTAAAGAAAATGATGGAAACCGGATGATTCCATCTAACAAACTTGCCAGGACTTGCACCGTTCCTTTTGCCAGGGCTGATCACTTTACCTTTAAGCCCCGTTCCGCTTCAGTGTCATCCACTTCTTAGGAACATCTCCCAACTCACTTTCACACTGTCAGGTCATATTTTTATGATCATCAAGCAGGGCAATGCAGGTTATAAGATGAATTGGGCCAAATCCTTCTTTTGAAGGCCTCAAACAGCCTGTTGTGTAAACAGGAAAACAGTCAATAGTGCGGTGCAGTCAGTCCACCGTATGGGATTTCTGAGGAAGCACTTAACTTGGTTTGGCAAACTCTCTTGGTTTTGAGTGTGGAATAAAGTGTTCATCCGGTAAATCAGGGAGTGTTTCCAGGAAAAGGTGAAGATGGACAGAGGATGAATTGTGACTGCAGGATAGCTTGTAAGAGAAAAACCAAGAAAGAGGTACAGAAGAATATTTGTATCCTCCATACAAAGTATTTCCTGTGGGTTGCATTTGTAAAAACCACTCAGGCGTGTGGGTAGAAGGTGCACTGGAAAGAGGTGAGGCTGTTTGAAGGAGGGTGTTGCACTAGCCCAGGTGAGAAGTGGTAAGGTCTAGTAAGAGAGCTTCCACTCCACTCTGACAGGACAAATCACTTAAAAGTCACAATTTTCTGTGTTGTTCCTTCAGGGAATGAAAAGGGAGAAAACGCATATGTGCATATTCTAGACTATGTAAATTTAAGATGATAAATTGTCTATACAAAATGTTTTCAATCTGTTTATTTTTTCACTTAAAAATGGCATCTTTATTGTTTATTGACTTGTTTACTGTTTTTGTTTAATAATATGTGGTCAGCAGCTTTCCATATCCATGAACATCCCCCATACCATTCTTAATTATAAGTGATATATGACTAACAAATATAATTTTTCCCCTCACTGTACCACTGAACTGCACTCCAACCCCCTTCTAAACAATTATTACACAAGAGCTAATATTTATTGAGTACTAACTATGGTCCTGGCACTGTGTTACAGTGTGTTACCTGTGTTATCTCCTTTAGCCCTCGTAACAACTCCATGACCTGGGTTCTTTTTTTGTCCCAATCATGCAAATGAGGATACAGGAATAGAAACAGTAAATAATTTTCTCAAAAATAATATGTAGCCATTTCTTGTAAGCCTCCTTCTCATTATCTTCTTGGAAATGAGTCTTGGATAGATACTTCACCAAATTATTGAAATTCCACATACTTGTCTTAGCTGTCAGTCTCTGGGATTGAATTTACTTAAACAACACACTTTGTATACTTTTCTTTCAAGGCCTAAACATAGCTGAGGAAGGTAATTCTGTAGCTTCCTTTATTGCCAAGTTCTCTGTTCTGATTTTGGGGTTGAAATTCATTACCTTTTCTGTTTTAAACCTGCAAATACATCTGCAATTAGTTAACTAATTACATCAATTCTGTGGTATAGTGAAAACATATGGGGAGTCCTACAAATCTTTGTTACTACTACTTCATTTGATTAGATAGATTTAAATTATGTTATTTATCTATTGAATGTGAATGGACCTTAAAAGGACTGGGGCTGTAGCTCAGTGGCAGAGTACTTGCCTACTGTGTGTGAGGGTTTGATCCTGAGCACCACATAAAAATAAACAAGTAAAATAAAGGCATGCTGTCCAACTACAAAAAAAAAAAAAAAAAAAAACTTAAAATAAACAAAGTATATTAAATCCATATCCCTGGAGTGGGGGAAGTTTTAGCTGAACATAAAATTAGGAGATATTTTTTAAAAATTCAGATTTTTTTCTAAATTGAATAAGCAATGTGTTATGTAATATTAACTGAAATGTCATAGTTGATAAGTGGACAAATAAACAGTAGAGACTTGGAGTGTAGCTCAGAGGTGAAGCCCATTGCAAGAACCTGGGTTTAATCCCCAGCACCAAAAAAGAAAAAAGTGAGAGAAAAATCCAGAACAAACAAAACCCAGGAATATTATATAGTAATAACAAGGAGCAAAGTAGTAATACAGGTTCCAACATTATAATCTTAAAATGATTATGTTAATTGAAAGAAGCCAGTCACAAAAGATCCCATATTGTATAATTCCAATTATATAAAGTACCCAGAAGAGGAAAATCCACAGAGATTAAAAAAAAAAAAAAAATGGGGACTGGACATAAACCTCAATGGAGATAGAGTATATAAGGCTTTGAGTTTGATTTCCTGCACTGCAAAAGCAACAACAAAAAATCCTTTATAAATAGTAGTTGCCAAGAGTTAGGGGAAACAAGGAGTGACTACTACTGAGTACAGTGGGGTTTTTTGTTTGTTTGTTTTGTTGTTGTTTGTTTAGGAAGAAGTCATGAAAATGCTCTAAAATTGATTGTGGTGATAGTTGCACAACTGTGAATCTAGTAAAAACTGTTGAACTGTATACTTTATATGAGTGAATTGTATGGCATATGAATTATATCTCAATAACACTGTTAAAAAATCAAAAGCACAAATACATAAAAAAATAAAATTCTTCCTTCTCATCTCCCTTACAGGACTTTCTGATTTCACTTACTTCTAATTGAAGTTCACATTCCTCCTGGTAACTTTTTGACTCCTGGTCTGTCTTAACTTGAATTATGTCTGAAAGCAGTCCTTCTGCTTTAGTCGCCCTGGTTTAGTCATTTTTCTTTCTCTCATTTTTAATTTTAGCATTTTGACAAGCCTTTGTGCATACTTAGAACACATCGCTTCCATTCTCACAATCCAACCTATTGAAATTCTTCCCTCCTTTACAGCACCAGTGCCTACGGTGGTCCTAGCTTGTTAGACATCTAATCATAGTGCCGCTGCTATGGTCTTTTCTCTTCTGGGAGTTTCTCACACATGGATGGTGTAGTTTCTCAGGAGAGACTAAGTTTGCACCTGGTAGGGACTGGGTCTTATTTTTGCTTTTTCCACTGTGTAACAAAATAATATGAGCCTAAACATTAATACTTGAGGAAAGGATAAATATATAGCATATTCAGTCCCCACACCCCCCATCAATGCTTACTAAATAAAACTATTTAATGCAGGTCCGAAAAACCTGAATGAGAGTCATCGGAATAGTTAAAATAAATGAAATTTGAAAAATTGTGCATTAAGTAACTCCTCTCTACCCTTTTTTAAGACTTCCTTATTTTAAGTTGTTAACTTTTCTTTACCAGTAGTGAAATTTTTGAATCTTTCAGAATCAGGTTTCCTTTTTTTAAGCAGATGATAAAGTAACATTCTCAAAACTTCTGGGGACATCATAAGGGAAATGTGTCAAATTAGATTAAAATATAAAACCTTTTTTTTTGTTGTTGTTGTTAGGTAGATGCTGTTGAAGAGAAGCGAAAAGAAGGAGGCAAGAAGAAGAACAAAGAAGGATCTGGAGATGGAGGTCGAGCAGAGGTAAAAGTTGTCAAAGGCTCTGCTATCAAAGGTTGGCAAGTAGCGAACACTTTCCCAGGCTTATCTTGTATGTAAGAATTCGAATAGTTTATGTGTCATTATAAAAAGACCCTTCATTGGAAAGAAGAATTAGGAAAAATTAGTCTGAGAGGAGAAAAAGATTTGCAATTATTTATTATTGCAAAAGGAAAACATTGATTGTAAGATGATCTCATTCTGGGGTTATGAGAGAGAGAGAGAGAGAGAGAGAGCACAAAAGTTGGAGAGAATGAGGTTATGGTAGTTTGCCAGATTGGATGCTGGCTTTCTAATCATTTCATTAAATGAGATGTTAAGAGATGGAGACTTAGTATTTGAGTTTTCACTAAATATAACAGAAACCAAAGGAAACCTAATTCCTTGATCTCTTTACTTTTTTCATGTGGACCTACTCCTGAGGCTGTTTGTTTGTTTTGGGGTCTTTTTTGTGGTACTGGGGATTGGATCCAGGGATTCATGCATGCTAGGCCACTGCTCTTCTACTGAGCTACATCTCCCAGATCTTTTTGAAACTTTAATTTGAGATAGGGTCTCTCTAAGTTGCCCAGGCTGGCTTTGGACTTCAAATCCTCCTGCTTCAACCTCCTGAATAGCCAGGATATGAGGTGTGTGTTACCCCTTCTGGCTTTAAGACAGGACAAAATCTTTTTGATTTCTCTCAGATCTAGAGAATGCACTTTCTCTTCCCTGGGCTCAAACTAATTGGCATTTCAAAAGCCACCCCAGAACCTACCTGGTTCCTGTATGTTTTATTTTAGGAGGCAGTTAAGCTTGTCTTTCTACTTTATTTTTGAACTTGAATTGCTATAAACTATGCTTTGCTTTTTGCTTTAGTCATTGCAGCTGTTTTATTGGAGACTTTAGAAAATGACCAAAATATAGAAGCACAAAGGAATAGGATTTTTTAAAGTAGCACAATAAACTGACTTTAAAGAGCTTTTTCTACTTTTATAAGTGATCAAGTGTTGTGTTATTTAGAACCCTGCCTAACCATTTCTTCAGTTAATTGTATACTGAATTTTAAGATTTGCAAGTACATAGTAAAATGAATATTTCCTAATTCTTCTTTATACTTTCAAGTATTTGGACATGCTGTCTTGTCATTGTTTAAGAATTAGCTTAGAAATAGGAAATAAAGAGTACAATTACAGGACATGTATGAATAGAGAATTTTAAGTGGACATGTGTCTTTATGTTTTAAATGGTCTTGGATAAAAATGTACAGTGATATGTCCAAGACCTTGTCTTCTCCTCTGTGCTCCCCTCATTTATGTACTTGTCTTATTTCTCTTCTGAGGGCAACATTCAGGTCTTATTATTCATCTCTGCAGCCCCAGAACCTATCACAGAATATGTCTGCTCAATGAATGTTGAGTAACTTAAGTTTGACATTAAGTTCTTTTGATTAGCAAATGAGTGCCAAGTGTATACAGAGACAGACAGCAGTTAAGAAAGAGGGTCATATGGGTAGGGAGGACCAAGAAATGTGCATTGGATTGAGGGGTTCAGATTATGGTTGTACAATGGGTTCAGATTATGGTTGTACAATGATAGGCTCTGAACTATTAGTTAATTCATTGTTTTCATTGTTTCTTCACTATTAAGAGGTATGAATCCCTGGTATAATTAGATGAAAATCTCCCAAAGAACAACTAAATGACTCAAGAATGGAACTGCAGTAGGAGGGAATTATAAAGATGCTAGGGCTTTGTCTGTTGGAGGAGCACTAGGGATTAATCCCAGGGGTGTTTTACCACTAAGCTACATCTAGGTCCTTTTATTTTGAGCCAGAGTCTTGCTTAGTTGCTGAGGGTCTCACTAAATTACGGAGGCTGCCTTGAACTTAGGATCCTCCTGCCTTAGCCTCCCAAATTGCTGAGATTGTAGATATGGACCACCATGCCTGGCTCATTTCAAAAGACGAAGGTACAAAAAAGATTATTTAATGAGATGTATATTTTATATCTGGGGAAAAATAAAAGTGCTATTTTGCAATGAAACTAATTGTTTAAGAAGTTGAAAATATAAATATTTTTTAATGTTGTGACGGCTCTCTTTTTTTGCTGTGATACTTAGGTAAATGTTATTAGCCTTTGAGATAGACATAATGGATAATGAATAATCATGACCACCAGGAACCGTAATGTCTAAGCTATACAGTAAGTCTGTAGAGCCAGATTGGTTTAAGTCAATCTGTCACAGATGTATTTGCATATAAATAGCATATATTTGAATGTTGTAGCTGATTGATCTAAATACATATGAAGATAGAAAGTAAAATTGAGCCATCTCTTTGCTTTGATATACACCTATTAATCTCCATATAAACATCATTTGAAAATGATAAATTCTGTAGGTGTTAATGGTTTGACTCTTTCATGGCCGCAGATTCACTACTTGAGTGAAGTCTCAGACAATAAAGGAAGTCAAATCTTTGATCATCATGTTTTTCTTTCTTTGCCAAACTTTTTGAAACTTCACTGGCTGTTCTATATACAATATTTTGGTTAATTTTATCAATTATATAGACAGTAGTGTTGTTTTATTTTCTTTAAATATTATAGGATGGAGTGTTGTGTTCTTTTCTTTAAATACTATAGGATGGTCGTAGCTTCTTTGAACTTGATAAATTTTTCCTTAAATGGAATCCCCTAAGTCTAATAAATTTATAGTTGGTTTTGAGTGGACATACAGGCTGACCAACTGTATTGAATGTCCTCTGAACAAGATTGAAACAAAACTGAAAAGCCACTTTGTTTTTATTTCCATTATTGCTTATAGTTATAATTTAAAGATAATTTAGTTAAGACCTTGATAGCTGGGCACAGTGGTGCATGCCTGTGATCCCAGAAACTCCAGAGACTAAGGCAGGAGAATTGCAAGTTTGAGGCCAGCCTGCACAACTTGGCAAGGCCCTAAGCAACTTAGCTTACTAAAATTAAAACAAATAAAAGGGTATGTAGAATCAGTGGAAAAGCACCCTGAGTTCAATTCCAAGTGTCAAAACCAATAAAACCAAAGGCAAAACCAAAAAAAACCTTAAGGGGACATCTTAAAACAATACTGATACAAATAATAATATTTTGAAAAATGGTTAATAGTTGTCAATGTTTGCAGACCAGGTTTATTACGTTATTTATGTTTTTCTATTATTTAGAAGTATAAGTTATAAGAAGAGGACACTTAGTTCCTTCTTTTATTCTTATTTAGGACCAGATCAGAGTAATGCCCAGTAATTGTTGCAATCTGTTTACCATACTGATGAGTAATAATGCGTTTTGTTTTGTCTGATTATTTCATTTGTTGTCTTGCAGTTGAATCCTTGGCCTGAATATATTAACACACGTCTTGAGATGTATAATAAACTAAAAGCAGAGCATGATTCCATTCTAGCAGAAAAGGCAGAAAAAGATAGCAAGCCGATTAAAGTCACTCTACCCGATGGTAAACAGGTCAATGCAGAATCCTGGAAAACTACACCTTATCAAATTGCTTGTGGAATTAGGTAAAAGCTACAGTTCTATAGTTTCTAACCTAACCAAATTTTGTTTTATTATCTCGGCAGGTTAATATTTTTATGTTACTTTTTGGTTTTGATGTTTTTAATTTACCCTAATTGAAAAAAATTTTTTTTAAATCAAAGTGATGTGGAATTTTATAATCAAGATTCAAGGTTAATTTCTGAAGGAGTCTACTTAAATCTTTTCGTATGAAGCTTGTGTTAGTCTTTCTACATTGATCATAAATGTCACAAAGCCAAGTAGACAGTGTATCACCAATTTTGACTTAAATATCTGAGTTTTTAAATTAAAAATGAAGGTAGATCTTCTCACATGTGAAAGATTGGCATTTGAAAAAAGCATACTATATTTATAAATCCAAAGAAGGACCAGACCTTATCTTAAGACTTAGTGGATTAGGAAGAAATTATTTCAAGTAATTGAGAATTGCATGCATACTTTATAATAGATCAATGTGATAGATCATAATCTAATATGGGAATCAATATTTGATCAATTTATCAGAACTTGATTAAGTTGGAAAAGCAACTTAAACCAGGTGTCAGCAAACTGGTCACAGCCTGTTTTTGTACAGCCTGAAATCTAAGAATGTTTGTTCATTTTTAAATGTTCGAAGAAAAATATAAAAAAAAAATCTTAGAAAAAAATATGCAACAGAAATTTTGTATGCCTTTTATAGAAAAAGTTTGCCAGCCTGCCTTAAGATTTACATATTTTAAATGTATAAGACCAATGTTTTTCAGGATAGCAAGTGCTAGTTCTTAATCGTAACGTACTAGAGAAGCAGTCCTGATTGCAGAATTCTTCTAGCTTTCTATGTAGTTGTTTCATCCACAACTGACTTGACAATACTTTTTTTTCATGACTTTCCAACTCTCAATCCTCTCATTGTATTATTTATTCATATTATATTTATATATTTTTAAGTTTATTGATAATAATTATGTATTGAATTGAACCATGTGAAATTGTTGTATGAATTATCAAAAATGGGCATCAATTTCATATTGAAATTTCATAGCATTAAGCCTAAGACATAAAGTAAAAAGCATTTAAACAGGTCTGGAAACCAACTCACCTGATTCTATGTAGGCCCATTATGCAACTGGTGAGTAGAAGCACTTATGCCTGCCTGCCTATGAGCCATTAGCCTTCACTGGGCCGTGGACATTGCTTAGTACATTTTACAGAGTAAATGGGAGTGTTCAGTTAATTTGACAAGTACTACTACTGTACTCCAAAGGAAGTTGTGATATCAAGTATGCTTCTGTGTGAACTCATAAAGAATTAGATGAACCATTAAAATATCAGGTTGCTCTTTGGTTTTAGAGATAATTTTGGAGCTCCAATTGGTGTAGAGATTCCTTCTGTCACACATTGAGATTGTAACTGTGTATTAAAATTTGGGCTGGTCTTAGTCTTGAATTTTTTCTTGTACATTCAACAATGTTGTCCTCTAGATTGCATTGTGATTTATTAAGTGATCAACTGGAAAATATTATTGCTAGAACTGTAAAATTCAAAGTTGAATTACCTTAAACAATGATGGGCTTTAGCAGCTCTGGAGTTAAGTGTGATTTGCAGAGAAATTTTTATAAAATTTCAATAACTTTGTTGTTCTGTGAAAAACTATAGCATGAATATGAATTACTTACAGATTTAGATGATTAGTGGTGAATATGACAGGACTTGTTTCATATGCTTAAAAGTATTTCTTTGAAATTCTCTTTTGTTCTTTCATTGAAAAACTGAAATGATCCAGTATGGTTCATGTGTAATCTCCATTTTCTGAGTGACTATTATTTTCATCTCAGGATAACATTTGAACTATAAAATGATGGTCATTTTCTTCCCAAATAATATAGAAAATATTTATCACCTTTTTATCAGTTAGTTCTATAATCTTTTGGAAACTGTTTTACGCCATTAGAAGAAAGTATGCTTCTCACTGCCAAATCCATGTTAGACTTTGTGAAATGCTTTTACTTAACTCATTTTATTGGCCCCATCTGATCTTAGCAAGAAAGAAAACATTGGATATAATCTATAGGAAAGCCAATGGGAGCATTGAAACTGAAATAGGAATTTCATGGTTTATTTTGTCATTGTTTTCTCCTGAACCCTATGTGGGGTAGTTGTGTATATTAGGTTATAACCTTTAAACAGAGCAAGGAGAGAAGCATCAACACAGGGAGCCCAACTACTTTAATGCCTGGAGGTGATAAATTTATTTGAGAGTAAGGGTATAAAGGATGCTAACTTTTCCTTTGAATGTTGCTGTTTGTCTGCTTTTGTGGAGATGCATTGATTATGATGGACTGTCATTTTGCTAACTGTGTGTTCCCCTTTGTAATTGGGCAGACCTTACTCAACTCTGCTGTGGTCATGCAGCTTTCTGAAACTCTTCAGTTACATCTTCACCTGGATCTGTACCCATTCCCTCATCTAGATAGCCATCTCCTCCTTTTCTAAGTGTCCAGACTTTTTGATCCTTCAGCCCCTTGCTGCTTTAGTCTCAGAGCCTTTCCAGAGTAGTCTGACCATGTTGTTTTATCCTCCCCATAAATCCTATGGCTTTTACACCTGGTATAATGGGAAATTTCATCATTTGATGATAGTTTTATGTTCTGTACTGTGTAGTGAGTATCTGACATTTTAAACTGTAATATACGAAGTTTTATTAAACAGTTTTTTATTTTACCTCCGTATTTGTTATAAATGCTGATATCACCTTATGTGTTTGTAGAATTTATTCTGAGGTTAGCATTGCCTCTTAAAGAAATGATCTAGTACACAATTTAAGCAGAAAAGTTTCTTAGTGCCTTTATTTTTTCCTTTGGAATCTAAGTTTCTTGGCTTTGTAGAAAATTTACTTGTGGAAAAGTTAAACCACTGGAAATTATTATTCTTATAAGAAGCATTAAGTGTTAAATAATGGTGTTTTGGAGCTTCAGGGTCTTCCAGTTATATTATATTCTTGGGTATATTTTTGAAATTTGTTGCTTTTCCCGTATATTTCAGAAGATACAAAAATGTATAGAGTATTAATATTAATACAAATAAATTTAGTGTTTATTTTTCTCTTCTTAAATGTTGTGTGAGAAGGAATTATATTTCAGATTCTTGTGTTTTTATGTATATTTTTTCAAGTCAAGGCCTGGCTGACAACACTGTTATTGCTAAAGTGAACAAAGTTGTTTGGGACCTAGACCGCCCACTGGAGGGAGATTGTACTTTGGAGCTTCTCAAATTTGAGGATGAGGAAGCACAAGCAGTAAGTTTATATTTCAGTGTTCATTGAATTTAAGGTGAAGATATGACCATATGCCATTAAAAGGGAAATAAAGCATTTTATTTTATTGACTTATCTGTGTAGGTCAGTGGTTTTCAGGTATATCCTGGAGCCTACAGATTGTTTGTGAGACTTTTAAAATATCATTTTGGTACTTTAATCATAAATCCTGAAAACAATACTCATCCAAATGACTATCTTAAAACCACATATTGCCATTTGGTTTGAGTGTCTACATGTTAGTCCTTATGTTTTATCATTGGTTGTAGAATCAAGTTGTACCACCTTGTTTTGGGCCAGTGGTATCAACAGAAGTAATGCTTTTCAAAGTAGTCCCTCACAATCCACTGTGATATCTGTGGTGATTTCTCCTTTTGCATCTCTAATTTTATTTAATTGGGTCTTCTCTCGTTTTGATATTTGGTTAAGGGCTTATAAATCCGATTTCTTTTTAAAGAACCAACTCTTTGCTTCATTGATCCTTTGTGGGGTTTTTTTTTTCCTTAAGTTTATTAATTGTGGCTCAGAGCTTAATTATTATCCTTCTTTCTACTGGTTTTGGAATTGGTTTGTTCTTTTTCAAGGTCTCTTTTTCAAGAGACTCTGCAGAGAATTTATGTCATTTCATTTCTGATCTCAAAATGTTGAAAGAATGGGCCTTGAGATACATTGTTAGGTTGTTTATTTGAGGTATTTCTGATTAGCTATAAACTTTCTTCTAAAAACTGCCTCCCAGAGATTCTGGTATGTTTTATCACTATTCTCATTTGAATTTAAGAACTTTTTAATTTCCCACTTGATTGTCTTCTGTCACCCATTCATCATTCAAAAGTGTATTGTTCAATCTCTACATGTCTATATAGTTTCTGAAGGGTTTTATTGTGTTAACTTCTAATTTCATTCTATTAAGATCTGATAAGACACAAGGAATTATATCATTTTTTTTTAATTTGTTCAGAGTTGTTTTGTGGCCTGCTGACAGATGTAATTATTAAGTGATGTTCTATAGCCAGCTAAAGGCCATATTATAGCATCTGGGACGTGAGGCTATGGGCAGAGTGACTCAAAAGAACCTGGGCCATTAAACTCAATCAGATAGTCTGCACTGTGAGTGGCAATTTGCTTTAGGAAACAAACTTCATCCTATTTAATGGTGCTAAATTGAATTTGTTTTAAAACAACTAAACCACAGGTTTTCTTCAGTACAAATACAGTATCATAATTAGAAGCCTTTTAATTTTGGCTGTGGATAGAATCACACTGTACTTTGTAGATATTTAAATTTGTTTTTATGTTTCAGGATATTTTATAGTAAACTGTATCTGTCTCTTTCTATGTATTAACAATATTAATTTGCAACTTGTATTCAAGATTGAAGCCATCTTATTTTTCATTAAACTTCAGGTATATTGGCATTCAAGTGCTCACATCATGGGTGAGGCCATGGAAAGAGTCTATGGTGGATGTTTATGTTATGGTCCACCAATAGAGAATGGGTTCTATTATGACATGTACCTCGAAGAGGGGTAAGTTATGTCACTGAATAAAGAAAACTAAAATCGGAATGATTGTGGGTCTATACGTTATTTTTAAAGCGTTTCCAGTGAAGGGGAAAGAAGGATATAAAGCCCATTGCTCCATAGTCATCATGTATTCCTATTGGCAATCCCTGAATATTGCAATTTATTTGAATAGATTCTTTAATAAGATCTGTTCTAGACTAATGGAGGTAGGGTCCTAAAGTACGTTAGTAAGTAAGATAAAACTGGTCTTCTGGTCTCCTTTAAGCCTGGTGATAGAGGTAGGGGAAGAGGTCACTAAGGGAAAAGATCTTCATGTTGATCCAGGTATAAGCCACTGAAAATATAAAAGTGATTTATGAAAAATGCTTATTTTAAAATTCTAATATATGATTCAAGGGTCTAATTTGTTATGTTAAAATGCTTAAAGTATTCCTAAGAAACACTTTTCTAATGGTGTGAATACAATGGAATGTAGAAAGATTATATTCTCTTTTTCAGGGGTGTATCCAGCAATGATTTCTCTTCTTTGGAGACTTTGTGTAAGAAAATCATTAAAGAAAAACAAGCTTTTGAAAGATTGGAAGTTAAAAAGGAAACCTTATTGGAAATGTTTAAGGTAAATGGAACTGTAACATGGGGCCTCCACTTTTATTTCACTCACAGATATCGCTTGAAGTTGTAACACTTGGGCTTAATGCTTCAAGTTGAAGCCATTTTTTGTTCTTTAGAAGAAATGAAAAGTGTTTGTAAAACAAAATATTGGCATATTTATATTCATACATTGCTCTAATAAGATGTACTTTGAGTTCTATTTTAGCTGAAGTATTTAGATGTAAAAATTAAGTTTTGTTTTTTTAATCCTTTTTAAAATTTTTAGTACAACAAGTTCAAGTGCCGGATATTGAATGAAAAAGTAAATACTCCAACTACAACGGTCTATAGGTGAGAATATCAAATATCATGAAAAGCAACTGGTGTATATGTCAGTTTGTTAAAATTGCTTTCATTTTATTGTAGGTGTGGTCCCTTGATAGATCTCTGCCGGGGTCCTCATGTCAGACACACTGGCAAAATTAAGGCTTTAAAAATACACAAAGTAAGCAATGTAACTTTAAACACTGTGTGGGAATTGGGAATGTATTTGTCTATTATAGATATATGTTTAAACTTTTATCGATTTTTCTACCATTGTTTTCTTGGATACAATGAAGATTATTATTTTTTTTCATGCTACCTACTAACTGGGTGCTAACATCAGTTTTTTAAAAACTCACCATTCATCACTGGAGCCAACATTTTGGAATGGAGGTTTGAGGGATTCACAAGATCATGCAGTTATGGGCCATTGTGGCTCTGAAAGCTTTTGAGACTCACTGAAGGAGTTTGTGTTTTATTCCTTTGTCTAAATTAATAATTGCCAAGTGTTTCTTTTAATGTAACTAATCCTGTCAGTTTTAAATGTACTTTAAAGCATCAGAATAATTGGGTTATTTCAAAACTTTTTTGTTAGTTCATTTCCGTTTTTGCTTAATTATTTTGTGAGAGATGCCTTTGCAGTAAGAGTAATGTTCATGAAATTGTGTTTTGAACAAGTATTCAAGGGTATTTTTCCCCCACTTTTTTTTATTGGTGCATCATAGTTGTACATTATGATGGAATTTGTTGCATATTTATACATGCATACAAAGTAATTTGGCCAGTATCACTTCCAAACACTTCCCCTTCCATCTCTGCCTCCAGAGTGGGCATATTTGAGGGGAGAAGAAAAGCCAACTTTGGGCTACAGAATAAGTCCAGCCTCAAAGCAATGGGAGACATTTACTAGGTGTGTACATTTTATGTCATTTTTCTTGTCAAAAGGATTGCTGTGACTTTGACTCAAAGTGATTATGAGAAATAATATCCAACTCCTAAAATAAATGAGATGTTTATATATTTAAATGTTGTATCATGGTTTATCCTTATTTTCAGAATTCTTCCACATACTGGGAAGGCAAAGCCGATATGGAGACCCTCCAGAGAATTTATGGCATTTCATTCCCTGATCCCAAAATGTTGAAAGAATGGGAGAAGTTCCAAGAGGAGGCTAAAAACCGAGATCATAGAAAAATTGGGAGGGTATGTTAAAGAACAAAGATGTCTCTAGGTTGAGTGTTCTAAAATTTTATTTAAAATTCAGCTGTATTGAGTGCTAGAAATTCCATTTTGAAGACGTGCTTTAGATTTCAGTTACCTGTCATGCCATGTCCTATCGGAATTGTGAATACTTACTGATTGTTCACATTATCTTTCTATGAAAATCCATTTTAATTACCACTTTGAGAACAATGTTGCTGACCTACATTTTTCTGTAAAAAAAAAAAAAATGTATAACACTCTTTCATAGATCTGGGAGAACTAGTCTCACTAATTCATAAAAATATGGAAACCATCCCAGAAAAATTAATCAATTTGTTGCCTGAGGTCACCCATGGATTCTGTAGGTTTTCTTTCTTCTACCCATCATCCCTCTACCTCTGAATTTCCTCTAAACTGCAAGTTAGGTTTCATAAAAACATTTCTCTGTAAATTAGGGCTCATTGCCAGATGTCTTTGGCTATTAGATTATGAAGCTTAAGCTAGAGAGAGCATCTACTGCTGTGCTCCCTTGACTGCTGAAATGAATCCCAGCAGTAGTGGGCTCTCCCCAAAGGCTTTGGGCATTTGGTGGTGGATGAGGGAGGCAAGGAGATGAGAGTGAAAGAGTTAACCAGTTTCATCTATTATCGTCTGTTTGATCGTCACTGCCTTTTTCCCAGTTTAAGAGAAAGAGAAAAATAATGAAAAAACACCCAGACCTTAAAACTTTGAGAAATTGGAAATATAAGAACTGTAAAATTGAGAGCCCTCTTCAGTGTCACTATTGGTTACACATGCCTGAATTGAGGACTATAGCAAGCAGGGAACAGACTTGTGCTAAGTTGTCAATTAAATTATACACCAGAAAAGTTGACTTGTTTATTTAGGATTGGCATTAATTGACATATGGAACATCATGACCGAATTTTGAGCTGAGGAACATTGACTATGTCAAAGTTGTGTACATATATAAACAATCTTGCTTTTCTTTTACTCAGGATCAAGAACTATATTTCTTCCATGAGCTCAGCCCTGGAAGTTGCTTTTTCCTGCCCAAGGGAGCTTACATTTATAATACACTTGTGGAGTTCATCAGGGTAAATCACATTTGTTTTTGTATTCTGAAGATTTAGAACGTGAAATGATTTTGTTAAATAAGGTCTGCTGAAAGTAAAGATTTATATTTGGAAAGAAACACATAAAATGATTAAAAATAATGAAAGTTTGGAGGTCTCATCAATTGTTGAAAAATTCTAATACATGATTTTGTTCGTATACATGAGTATGTACACAGAAGCAGGTGAGCTTGAAGTTGTAACTATAGCCATTTACAGAATAGTAATGAATAACCAGGTGTACTTGCCACCCAAATTTAACATTTGCATTGGGTATATCTGTTCCAAATTTTTTGTTCAAGATGTTAAAAAAACTACAAATATAGCTAAGTAAGCAAACAAAAAATAACCCTCTTTGAGACCCCTTTTTGATCCATTTCCCTCATTTTTTAGAAGAAGCTATTATTTTGGAGTTGGCGTGGATTTGTTTTGTCTGTTATTTATATATATATATATATATATATATATATATATATATCCCAAATATGTGTGCCTTTGAATTATTTGTTTCTAATTTATATACATAGTTGTCATTGTGTATCAGTCTGCAATATATCTACCTCATTAATATGCTTATTCCTTTATTAATTCACACTGATGTGAATTCTGATTTTTCCATCTTACTAACAATGCTAAAGTAGCATTGTTTACATAAGCATCCTTATGTACCTGTGTGAAAGTTTTCTCTTTGGTATATGCCTACAGGTGGAATTCTGGGTCATGGCATATGTGTTTCTTGAACTTTATTAAAGAGAGTATAAAATTGCTGTTTAAAATTTTACTCCTTCCAGAAAGGTGAGCTTTGATTTGCCTACATGTGTGTTCTGTTTATTCTCTAACAGAGTGAATATAGGAAAAGAGGATTCCAGGAGGTAGTCACTCCAAACATCTACAATAGCCGACTCTGGATGACCTCAGGCCACTGGCAGCACTACAGTGAGAACATGTTCTCCTTTGAGGTGGAGAAGGAGCAATTTGCTCTTAAACCCATGAACTGCCCAGGACACTGGTATTCAGCAGCTTAAGATTTTCATGTGCTCCAATTAGTCCTATGTTGTTTTACCTTCTTTGAAAGAATTTTTGTTAAAAACATTATGTAATAAGAATAATATTTCAGTACAACATTTTTGTTGTATTATCTATGCAGTTAGATTCTCAGATATGTTGACACTCAGGAATAATACTGGTGTTAATAGCAGCTAACAAGGCAGAATATGAACCAAGGAGACTGAATGTGCGCTGTAGCAAATACTCCAAGTTTCCCTTCTTTCTTGCCTTTGTTGCCCCTTTCCCTTGCTTTCATGTTCTATCAAAACCTACTGCTAATGAATTAATGTCCTTGGAAAACTTCTCTTGCCCTAAGGCTGCTCCACTTTCTGTTCATGAAAGACAAATGAAGAACAAATATTGGGAAGACTTGTGAGAACTGTGGATACAGGTAGCTTAGTGTCCACAGCTCGTGGTAGGCAGGGCTCATAGTACAGGAGGCAGGAGAGGAAATGAGAAAGGAAACTCCATAAAGAAGTTGGTGTTTTTGTCAGCTTTTTCACCACAGTGACCAAAATGACCCGAAAAGAACAGTTTTAGAGGAGGAAAAGTTTATTTGGGGCTTACAGTTTCAGAGGTCTTTGTCCAAAAATGGCTGACTTCATTTCTTAGGGCCTGAGGTAAGACAGAACATCATAATGGAAGAGTAAGACAGAGGAAATTAGCTCAAGACACAGCACCAGAAAACAGATAGACTTCTCTCTCCAGGCACAAAATATGTGCCCCAAAGCATGTTACCCCCTCCCCCATTGACCCAGTCATACCTGTCTACAGTTACTTCTCAGTTAATCCCTATCAGGGGATTAGTGCGCTGATTAAGTTAACTCCTAACCCAATCATTTCACCTCTGAAATTTCTTACATTGTATCACATAGGAGCTTTGGGGGGATGCCTCATATCTAAGCTATAACACTGGGTTAAACATGTCAGGGAGCCAATGAGATATACTTAAGTTTTTCCAGATTCTTCACCTTCTAACAAGGAAACTGAGGCACTTTGGTACCTGACAAGAACAAGTTTAACTTTAGTTTCAGTGTTTCAAATGGTTTATATCTATGTATTTTTTTTTAAGAGAGAGAGAATTTTAATATTTATTTTTCAGTTATTGGTGGGCACAACATCTTTGTTTGTATGTGGTGCTGAGGATCGAACCCCAGCCGCACGCATGCCAGGCGAGCGCGCTACCGCTTGAGCCACATCCCCAGCCCTCTATTTTTTTTTTAATATGTATTTTTTAATATGAGCCTTAAGGGCAGTTCTCATATTAACTAATGGAAATATTGAGCTCGTGTACTTTAATCCAGGCTTATGGGAATACACGTTTCATTTTCTCAGCAGTGGATAGTTGTATTTTAGTTCATGCTATTTTATTGATTCAAGTGCTTTTATTGCTGTGTGAAACATTATTTGAGAAATGTTGCTTATATGAACAATTAGAAACAAGCTTTTTTTCTTCTCTTGTTTTTATAGTACTAGGGATTAAGCGCAGGGATGTGCATGCTAAGCAAGAATTCCACCACTACATACATCCTGTTTTGAAACAGGATCACACTAAATTGTCCAGGCAAACTGCAAACTTTCGTTCTGCCTCAGCCTCTTGAGTAGCTGAGATTGCAGGAACATGCCACTATGCCCAGCTAGATCAGTGACTTTTTGACAGCACCTCATGTAATTAAATATATTAGAGAAGCAGTTTTATTCACATGGAATAAACAATCAATTTTACTTTCTTCTTTAGCCTCATGTTTGATCATCGTCCAAGATCCTGGCGAGAGCTGCCTCTGCGGGTAGCTGATTTTGGGGTACTTCATAGGAACGAGCTATCAGGAGCACTCACAGGACTCACCCGGGTACGAAGATTCCAACAGGATGATGCACACATATTCTGTGCCATGGAGCAGGTAGGCAACCTTCTGGGATAAAAATACTTTGAAAGAAGTGTCAGGAAAGCAAAGGAAAATAACTACTATTTTCTTTCTTCTCTCTCTCTCTCTCTCTTTTTTTTTTTTTGTTAATTTGAAGATTGAGGATGAAATAAAAGGTTGTTTGGATTTTCTGCGTACAGTATATAATGTATTTGGATTTTCTTTTAAATTGAACCTTTCTACTCGCCCAGAAAAATTCCTTGGAGATATTGAAGTTTGGAATCAAGCTGAGAAGGTCGGTGGTGTTTTTTAAGTGTGCTCGCATACCATTTGGCTGAAATTGGCTTGTTCTATACTGAAAGAAAGCCTTTATAAATGGATAAAAGAAAAGGAAATTAGAAATGGTTCCTCTATTTGAGTAAGCCTTTTTTTCTGTATGATTTTAAAGTATTTTAGAGTTGCTTGAATGTTTATTTTCAGTTATTAAGCTGAATGCTTTAAAAGGAGGTATGAGTGTATATTGAGGTGTACAAACTTATAAAACAGGGAATTTTATTTCCAGTCTCAGATTAGAAGAAGGAAAGTGTCAGATGAACAAAAATGCAAATCATTTTGCTTTATCCTCAGCAACTTGAAAACAGCCTGAATGAATTTGGTGAAAAGTGGGAGTTAAATCCTGGTGATGGAGCTTTCTATGGTCCAAAGGTAAGTACCAGAGTTTATTAGAATAATGTAGTTTTCTTTTCTGAAAGAAGACAGTTTGCTGTTAAGTAGTTTGAATAAAAAGAAAAAGGAAAATCAGCACTAATCCAGAGATTGAGCTCAGCTTTAATATCTGTACCATCTAAATAATAACCTAGTTTTTGCTTTGCAGATTGACATACAGATAAAAGATGCAATTGGTCGCTACCACCAGTGTGCAACAATTCAGCTAGATTTTCAGTTGCCCATCAGATTTAATCTTACTTTTGTAAGGTAAGTTTCTAGTATCTGCTCTGAATAGTCTTCTCCAGGGACCTACAAGGAGAAGTATATATAAAAAAGCAAAATAAATTCTTTTTCTTTATAGCCATGATGGTGATGACAAAAAAAGGCCAGTGATTATTCATCGAGCCATCTTGGGGTCAGTGGAAAGAATGATTGCTATCCTCACTGAAAACTATGGGGGCAAATGGTAATTTTTGTCTGTTTTCTTTTGTTTTTGCTAATTAATGTGAATTGCCTAGAAATAATCTACTTTTCAGTATAGGTATGAAATGGGAAGGGAGAATGATTTGTTTGATCATTTGTAGTATAATGACAAGTGTTCACTAAAAGTAAGAAATTATAATCATAACTCAAACTTTTTATCATGAAGAATATTTGTTAGGTCTGGAGGTATAGTAGCTCGGTGGAAAATCTCCAGTTCAAATCCCACCATAAAAAAACAACAACAACAACAAAAACCTTGTTATTAGTATTTATTTTTCAGAACTTGATATGTTTAAATGTTTCTAATTAGCAGTTATTCAGTAAAAAGCACACATAGGGATTAGGGATAGAGCTCAGTGGTAGAAAACTTGTCTCATGCTCAAGGACTGGGTTTGATTCACTGGCACTTGGAGGAAGAAAAGGAGCAGTGGTAGCATACAGAATTTGGTCTTAATTGTTTTTTGAGTAATGTAACTTTGTTTGGGATTTATATGGTTTTACTTTTTTGCCTGAGTAAACAGAGGCTTTTGGCTTACCTTATTCAGCTTTGTAGATCAGAGTAAGCATGTGTTTTTAACATCTTTTAGAAACCAAACAGTTTTTAATTAAAAATTATTATGCATGCTAAATGGAACAATGTGTTATGACTCCTTACTATGAGGGATTATTTTCATTGGCAAGATATGAGCACTTGACCTACATTTTATTTTATCTGGCCCACAGTGCAGTTGGAAGTAGTACAGAGTTATCAGACACCCATTTATAGGACCTGCAGAATTAGATGTCTTGATTTAAAACTTTTGTATGATGTTATAAATTGGTTTAATCTTATATATTGCTGTCATTTCAGTATAAATTAAATTTGATTAGTTCAGACATTAAGAGGAATTTTTCATACTTGTCAATGATGTAAGATAATTTCTTTTCACTTATATTTCATAAAATATGGGTAACATTTCTCCATATGACATCTAGAGAATTAAGGGGTATTCAGCCAATTTCTCTGTCAAACCTTTAGTGGATTGGGAAGAGCCTAATGGGTAGGATTTAATGCCTCTTCTAGCCTTTTACCTGATATAAGAAGATGGCTGAAATGGAAGAATGATGGAGAAAACATGGGCCTATTTTGCAGCTGCGGGAGGATTTGATACCTGAAGTGTTCTGATGGGAGAATTGCAGATAGTTGGGTTTTGTTTTTCTTTGTTTTTTAGTGTGTATATGGGGAGAATATGTATAAATTTAAATAATACCGAAATGACTAATGCATAGGAATAAAAGAATTTATAGCATCTTACAAAAATTGTAAATCAGTACAACTAATATATACTGTATATATATGTGTGTGTATTACTATACTGTGTATTATTATATATGTGTGTGAATGTACACATATATAGTAATATACATATTTTATAAAATATATATTATATATATGAATATGTGTGTGTGCGTGTGTGTGTGTTTGTGTGTATATATAAAAAACTGCTGGGGATGGAACCCAGGGATGCTATATCATTGAGCTACATTCCCAGCCCTTTTAATTTTTTTATTTTGAGACAGGATCTTGCTAAGTTTGCTGAGGCTGGCCTCAAATTGTGACCTTCTGTCTCAGTCTGCCAATTCTCTAGGATTTATAGGCATGCACCTCACTCCCAACAGCACGAAATCATCTTTTAGCCAAGTGCCATTATCACTCCTTCTTATCAGTTATATTATGAATCCTGCAAAAGAATCTTAAATAAACTAGGGTGCTATCTATATCCCCCATGGAAAATAAGTAGTAAGATAATCTGAACAATTAATCTCTCTACAGTTATTTTAACATTTTGTTAACCCCCCTCACAGCCAGTATATGGTGCTTTGTTTTGTGATGTATTAAAGTGTGCGGCCCACTCCCTATCAGTTTTCTTTGTTATCTGCTTAACAATGCAAGTCACAGTTACAGCTTTTCCTTATTGAGTGTTCATTTTCTTTTCTCAAGTCTCCTCCCCTTAGTCTTTAGTAAAAAACTTAAAAAAGAAAAAGCCAAGTTTTTAAAGTTTTGAAAGTAGACCTTTCATATTTCAAGAAGACATACTAAAGAGTAGACTATTAGAAATATGCCATCCTTGTATAGTGAAATGTGCTGAAATCCATATTAAATATTTTTATTTTCTTCTTCTTCTTCAAGGCCTTTCTGGCTATCTCCTCGCCAGGTAATGGTAGTTCCAGTGGGGCCAACATGTGATGAATATGCTCAACAGGTAATCCTTAAGTATGACTTCTCTTTAAATTTGTTAAGCTTTTCAGATCTCATAAGCCGTGTACTTTTTTTTTTAAGTTGGTGCATTATAGTTCTTTATAATAGTGGGATTCATTATTCCATATTTTTATGTGCACATAGTTTTATCAACCTTATTCAGTACCCAGTACCTTCCTTTCCCTGCCTTCTTTCTTCTCCATGATCCTCTTGCTCTAATCTCCTGATCTCCCTTCTATCACTATTATTATTGTTATTATTATTATTTTAATAATGCATTATGATTTTATGGTATTTATGTGGGATATTGTAATTCTGTGTGTGTGTGTGTGTGTGTGTGTGTAGGATTCATTGTGGCATTTTCTGCATGGACATAGCATAATTTGGTAGGTTTTGTTCCACAGTACTTCCTCATGCCCTCCCCTCCTCTTCCCTCTTGATCCCCTTCCTTGACTCTATTGGTCTCCCTTCTATTTTCATAATATCCCTTTTTTAATTTCTTTTTTCGTATAAGCCATAACATTCTTGGTAAATCAAGATATGAGTACAGTTTCTGTTACTTAAGGAAGATGTTGCTATTTTCCACTGTGATAAACTGAATATGTTATATCATCTCTGAATATGTTATATCATCATGAAGCTTTTCTCAGCTTCATGATCAGAAGACATTCAAGTGTTTTATGTACACTTGTGTATTTCAGTGTTTAATATTTAAAAACAAAAGTGAAATCAAGTACCTTAGCATATATAAGTTCAAAAGCAAAATACAGTTATACAGTTTAAGCTGTGTTTTGACTCAAAAAGTAATTATTTTCATTTTAATGCAAATTTTAATTATTTGAAAGTTCTTTTCAGCTTAGTGTCATTTGATGAATATGCCCCCAGTATCAAATGTATAAACAGCCATTTGTACTTCACTTAAAGATTAGAACAATCTGTTTTGCTATAGTAATAATTTCATACTAAAGAATTTCAAATGATTAACAGTTGATCAGTGAACAATACTATAACATCAAAGTCATCCTGATTCTAGATTTTCAAAATAAATTGCATTCAATTTTTTTAAAATACTTTTTTAGTCGTAGATGGACATAATACCTTTATTTGTTTATCTTTATGTAGTGCTGAGGAGGGAACCCAGTGCCTCACCTGTGCTAGGCAAGTGCTCTACCACTGAGCCACAACCCCAGCTCTCACATATTATTTTCAAGAAATTAGTAAAGTTACCAGTTGACACAAACCATTCAGGCAAACTGTTTTTACCCCTACACATGGTATTTTTATATGGAGGCTGTTAAATAATTTATTGCCCAGAAACTACATTAGAATCTTGACATATATTTTATGAAAGGATTTCTTTCCCTTTGTAATGTACCTTTCATGAAATTTGATTGTCTTCTGATGTTTAAGGATTTTCTAAAACATCTCAAGAACAAAATGATTTTTTAAAATGTACACCCAAGTCGTGGTAGTATGTACTTCATTATACCTATTAGCATCCTTTTTATTTTTAATGCTTTCATGACTATCTATATCTTATGTTAAATAAATTCACTTAAAGGTCCAAATAAAAAATTTCTAATTTTAGATCTGATGCAATCTGTGTTCGTTTAACAGGTACGACAACAATTCCATGATGCTATGTTCATGGCAGACATTGATCTGGATCCAGGCTGTACCTTGAATAAGAAGATCAGAAATGCACAATTAGCACAGTATAACTTCATCCTAGGTAAGAAAGAGAATTTGCCAAACCTTTAGGAAAACCTACACAAATCTTGAGACTTAGACTTAAATGAATTGTGGTTAAACATATTTAGTTCCTTCCAGTCTTTTTTTCTTGTGGTCCTGGGGATTGAACTCACAGCTTTGTGCATGCTGGTCTCCTACTTCTGACAAATAATTCAGTACCTTCAATTGGTAACAAAGGGAAATTTTGGTATGGGGAGAAAAAGGTTTGTCTAAAATTTCTTCTCCTTCATGTCATGCTGCTTTTATCTGGTATTTTTAAGTTGACTGACTGGATTAAGGGATTCCAGTCAGTGTAGAAGTTACATGTACTGCAAATTTATTAAGTCAGTTGCCCAGCTATATACATGGTTACCTGTATGTTTTGATACGAAGTTTCAGTGTGGCTTTTGGGTGCTTGGATCATTTCTGTTCATACATTCAAATTTAATCCTTCCAAAGTCTCATGAATCTTTGTTTCTTCTCTTTTAGTTGTTGGTGAAAAAGAGAAAACCAGTGGCACTGTTAATATCCGTACAAGAGACAATAAGGTCCACGGTGAACGTACTGTTTCTGAAACCATTGAACGGCTGCAGCAACTCAAGCAATCTCGCAGCAAACAGGCAGAAGAAGAATTTTAACATAGAACTTTGTCCACACTGGCTAAGTGGAAATGGAGTCCATCTGGAACACATTAATTCACACTTAGTCTTGGTAGCTCAGCAGAGTCTGCCTAGATGATTGCAGGATCAACCTTTTTTGACCTAGATAGGTTTTTGACAATGAGTATTTGATAGAGTTAATTAAGAGACCCATTAAATTATTTTTATTCATTAAATATCTGAGCAATGGTAGAACATGAAGAATCCTTTAGTATAACATGGGAAGATTTTTTGTAAATTTAATACATTGGAAATTTTTTTGGGGATTCAATTAAGATAAAAGAAAGCCTAGGATTGGATTATGATGTAAAAATAAAAATTATTAACAAACTTCAAGATGGCTCGTCTTTCACGTACATACACATACACCTGAAACGATTTGTATAATTCAGGCCAGGTGCAGTGGCATACATCTGTAATCTCAGCAGCTCAGGTGGCTGAGGCAGGAAAATCAAAAGTTCAAAGCCAGCCTCAGCAACTTACTAAGATCTTATCTCTAAATAAAATATTTTTAAAAGGCCTGGAGATGTAGCTCAGTGGTTGAGCACCCCTAGGTTCAATCTCCGGTACCAAAAAAAAAAAAAAAAAAGATCTTTTGTGTGGAATTCAGTATTTATTTTGAAAATTCTATAACAAATATGATGCAGAGTGGGTAGAGGAGGCAAATTTACAGTATATGCTTTTTTCAAATGGTTGTGAGTTAGGTGCTACCTTCTTATATGTACAGTAAATATCTTGTTTTGGAATGTAGCTTTTGTTTGTCTTTTAGTGGGCATCTTTTAAAAGAACTAAAAATCACCATTAATCTAATAGAGTAGATTTACACAAATATTTAAGGTAAAGGATATATCTATGGATATTCTGTTTCAGGCCATAGAATCTTGTTAAACAAATTCCCTATTCTCTCAAAAGAGGTAATTTTTTGAAATTTTTACTGGTAAATGGGAATTATGAGAATCCCACAAAATAGGAATTTCTTTGTGGATATATATGAATTTCTCTTTACTAGAATCATTTTTAGAAGTCAACATCTTGTATGATATCTCCAAATTGCGTGTTTCCAAGGGTCACTTCAAAGAGATTAATTTGCATAGATTAATCCTCACTTTAATAAAGGAGATAAGATCTTTAATCATAGGGGTTTGGGGGAACCTTCTTAATTAAACTTTTGAGTGCCTTAAGATTTAGCCTTTGAAAGGGTTGCTGTATGTTAAGAAAAAATGAACCCCATTTTGCATTTCGTGATACCAGTTTTCTGATTCATTTTGAAAGTGTATTGATTTTTCTTTCTTTAAAATTCACAATATCCTTGTTTGAATTTTTCTTCAGTATTCAAAAAAAAAAAAAAGATTACAGGGCCCCATACATGCTGCTTTACTACTGAGCTACATCTCCAAGCCTACAGGATCATTTTGAATGGTTTTCACATTATGTGGTCAGAAGACCAAATACTGTTTAGCTGGGTTTTGTTTTCAGTGCGTATTTCACACTTGAAGCAGAAAATACCTTATGTGAGTAATAATTTCCCTTGAAACATTTAGAGACGTTTTAGAAATCTTTTAAGACAAAAAAAAAAAAAAAAAAAGCCTAGTAAGGCAGGTTGGCAGATTCCTCTTTGTCTCATTACCTCTTTGGCTTAGCCCTCACCTCCAGTGGGATCATAGAGGAACACTCTAAGGAAGATCTCTTAATTGTGGGTTTTCCCCTTCAAGAACTCTCTCTGTTGTTTTCTTTTCTCCTGGGAGGCAGAGACTTGTTTTTACTGTTGTATGCATCTGTTCTGTTGTGGTACATAACAAAGAACTGAAGGAAAGAATTGCTGAGCTTTTGTTGAGCATGTGGCCCATTGAGAGTTGTATGGCTTCTTAATCAAATAGGAGCGATTTGAAAATAATAGCAGGTGTTTATGTCATGTGACAATTTGTAAAAAAGATTTTATGAAGCAACTCAGAAAGCTAAAACTCAAAGTGAATCATGAAGAAAGTGATGACTAGGGCAGCAAATTTGGAAAATAATTTGAAACACCAGGAAGATTCATTCAGCCTTGAGCAGTGATGGTAAGTTCTGAGTAGTTGAAAAGAGTCACTTACCTGCAACATGAGTGTAGACAGACTGCCCATCAACTTGGTGTGCCATTCCTCTTACTTCCCTTCCTTCCTTTGTGGCAGCGATGCACAGCTGCTGGACAAGTGCTTCTGGAGATGGGCACAGGAAACAGTGTTAAAATGCAGACTCTGGTTCATAGTTCTGGGCTGTGTCTCGAAATATTGCACTGCATCTAACAAGCAGAAGACTCGTTTTCCACTCTGACTAGCCTTGTGCTCTTCTGCCTTAAAAAGAAAAAAATTAATCTGGGTGTCATCTTAGGTAGTGCCTGGGCTTTTACCCAGTACTGTGCAAGAAAAAAAGTCAAATAGTGATTAAAAAGGCTCAGAAAGAATCCAGCCTCCTGTCCTTTTGACCCTCACTCCCAACACGATAAATGTCAGTCATGCTGCTATGTATCTGTTTCAGATTCTGAATATTATCTCTTAAGTCCTCACTCTTAGAATTCCTCTATAAGCTTCCTGTTTCAGAGAATGAGGTCTTTTCGTATCCTTCCATTTCCTCCAACCTTCTAATGTCATATCTCAAATTTTTATTAAATCCATATTAAATGTCTTATTATGTCCATAACTATGTTCTAATAAATCAGAGTGTTCTATAATTACATTTTTTAGAACAACTTTGTGATTGTAGTTAATGATTATCTTCCTTTTAAAGTATTTTCTTTGATCCTATGGCTTCAACCTTTTATACCTTTTGCTACAGGTTGCCCTAGTTCCACTTTCCTTCCAAGACAAATCCTTCCTAGAATCCTCTAGACTCCTGCTTCAATCTGGGCTCATGGCAGCCCTCAGCTCAGCTCACCTTTGTTATTAGGCCTTGCCTCTTCCTTTCTTGGGCCTCTTTCCTGGATCTGTGTCTTCTTTTTATTTTATTTTATTTTTTTCCTTTCTTGACCAGTAGCTTCTCAAAGGAGTAATTTTTGACACTTAGCTCATATAAATCTAGTTGGGTATAGAATTTCTCTGAGCCTCTTTCCTTACCCATAAAATGTGGGTACTACTCTTCCGTGGAGTTATGAGAAGTCAACTGGTGTAATGTGAGGAAAGTAATGCTGTTTTTCTCATCGGCTCCTGTCTCTTGCAGGAATTATCCCCTTTACATCCACTTCTCCCCTAATTGCCTTCAACTTCGCAACCTAAAAGTATCAGTGTCTTTTCTGTTCTATTCCGTGTCTCTATTCCAACTCCCACCAAACCAAGTAAGTGTTTGCCAAAGACCACATAGATCCTCTGTGCCTATTTTGCATTTGCAAACCCTCTGGGAAGGAATTCACATACTCAAGAAAACAAAACCAAACTAGACCTTAGGATCCAGCAAGAGAACCGGTGCTTAACCCCACCCTGACTCTGCTTCTAGTTCAACCTCCTGGCTACTGTCCCTTCATAAATGTTAAAACCTCAGATCAAGATGAGGCAACAGTTTCTGAGGTCGTCCATATTCTCAATCTCAAATCTATACTTTTTCTTCATAAGTGATCTCTTCCTTTGCAACTTTACTGTTAATATGCACTCTAATTATTTTTTGTAACATGGTCAAGAGAACTTGAGGTTGCCACTGCTCCTGGAAACCTTGTGTGATAACAGAAGCACATAAGAGTCTGAAGGATCATGAATGAAGGGCTGTGGAAAATAAAAGGAGTGGCCTAGAAAGAAGTGCTGAGTTGGGATTGGTGCCACAGGGAAGGTAGTGAGCAGGAGAAGCAGGCACGAAGTGGAATGACCATGACTGAGGGAAAGAACAAAGGGCTGAATGGATGAAGGAAGGGGAACACTAGATCAGCTTTGCAATGGCATGTGAGACGTGAGAAATGACATCTATGTATTTTCCTTGAAAATATGAAGGCATGTGGCTTCTTCCTGTGTGAGTGTGTGAATGTTACAGGAGAGTGAATGCAGGACCTCATGATGCTAAGCAAGTGCTCTACCACTGAGTTACATCCTCAGTCCAAGTGATGTGCTTCCTGAGAAGTCAAGCCATTTTTTTCAGGATTTGACTTCTTGGGGATTCCAACATCTCAAAGTGCAGTATGGCTGTCTTGTGACACTAGAACTTATCCAGTGAGGCTTTCCTTTGGCTGCTATTATAAGGAATTTACTCTTGGTAATAATTATGAAAAATTAAAGGCTATTTTATCTCCAGGCAGCAGAGGGCAGTCCTGCCCTCCTTATCCAGATTGATACTAATGTCAGACGTTGAAGTGAATTGGTTTAGTGTTAGCTTAAAATTTAAGGGGAGTTTTCTGTTTCCATAAGAATTCACCCAAGTTTATCTTCCTTATTGCATAAAATTAGCCTTTATAGTGTGTCCAGTGTGGTGCCCACTGATGCTAAAACAAACTCATGGAAACATCCTCCGGAGTTGTCCCTCACTGGGGAAGGGCAATAGAATCCAATAGAATTATTATTTTTTTACGTTAATGTCATGAAACAGGGCTGTATATTGATCATTCTCAGCTGCCATTAAAACTAATAATGGAAAGTGCAGGATAAGAAGCTGGAAAGAGACTAGTAAGGGCAATGGTGTTGCCCCAACTACCTCTGTTGCAGTGAGAAGAAAGAGCGAGAAGTGGATGTGTTGCAGAGGTCTGGGGGGACAGTGAGGAGGCTTCTGGTCTGTAACCAGGGAGAAGCAAACTCGTGTGGAAGAAAGACCTGCAAGTGTGGGGCAAGGAGCAAAGCTTTAACAGAATATGGGGAAATATCTACCAACAGTGAGACCTGTCAAGAGACTGGATCCCCCACATGAGTGTTCTGTCACTTGAAGGTGTTTCAGCAGAGATGTAGGCGGGGTCTCCTGTGGTGTGCTCTTAGGATCACTTGGCCTACAGGTCAGTGTGAAATGCAGATGCCAACAGAATGAGAAAGTTTTGTTGCAAGCCCAGAGGTCTCCATTGGAATGAGTTGCTCATGTCCATCTTTGGCACATTGAACTTTGAGAACCACTTTATCACTGAACTACACCCCCAGTCCTTTTTACTTTATTCTAATTTGTAATCCTAATTTCTTGGAAGGTCAGATGAACAGGTTGGTCCCAGTTTGGTGAGGAAGAACTTTGATGTGAGTGACTGCATTTTGATCTCTAGCCTGATCTAATAGAGCCTAGTAAAGGAGTTTAGTCCAAAACAGTGTCATTTTTTCTTAACACTTGAAATTTGACGACAAGAGATGGCAGACGCATGGATGTGCCTGGATGATGAGTTTGCTATCACGGAGGGTGGCAGTAGATAG